TTTAATTTACAAATAATTATAATAAATAAAAATAAAATTATATAAAAAAATCGATTTTTTTTCAACGTATTTTATATATAAGTGTTAATATTAACTTTTTATTCATTGAAATTAATATAAAAATTTAGTTTTATTTTTATTTATCTAAATAATAGGAGATATATTTTCACATCTTATTTTCTTCTTCGGCATGTAACTGTGTGCCGCCATCCCAACCTCGACGACGAACCTTAGCGCCGCTCTCAGTCTTTCACGCGCCGCTTCTCTCTCAGGCCTGTAGGTACTCTTCCCTCTGCTCTCAGTCTCTCACGCGCCGCTTTAGCTTCAGCATTCTTAAATTATTTATTTATTTTCTCACCGATTGGATGCCCTACCCATGACCAGTTTCAACTCATAATATGAGTTGATTCGATTATCCATAAGCACCAAAAGTATCACCTTCTTAAAAACCTTCGAACTACATTCGTACTTCCATTTGGTTTCATTACATTTCAATACTGCATGTGAATTTGTCGAAAATCCTTATGAATACTGTTTCCCGAAGTGGATTCATTCATTTTCGTTGCAATTCTTGGGATGTGGAAACTGACTCTGGGTATATCGTGCTCTCTGGATTTACGCGAGACCCGATTGCAATATTTGAATTCAATTTTTATACAATTTATTGGAATGAGATAATTTAGGCCAGGGTTATTCATTTCTGGTTCTGGCCAGGGTTTTGCATAATCTATACTAGCTCTTTTTCTCCGCTCATAATGGGTAAAGCTAAAAAGGGACCAAAGTTTGCTGTAATGAAGAAGGTTGTCACCTCCAAAGCAATCAAAAGGTGAGATGTTTTTTTTTTTTTTCTTTCTTAAATGGTGGTTCCTTCATTATGCATAGTTTTGCTCTATTTTCATTGCTTGCATTCCTGTCTAATTCAGCTATAAAGAAGAGGTTTTGAACCCAGAAAAGAAGAATCTCACGAAGGAAAAGTTACCCAGAAATGTGTAAGTTTCTGTTCTCATTCTTTTTCTCTCTTCTAATTAATTTTGAGTTTATTGCTTTCTCCCCTTGCTGTTTTTGTTTTAATCTGTGGTTTCAATTTGCATTATTTAGTCCAAGTCATTCTTCGGCACTTTTCTTTCAATACAACACTGCACTGGGACCCCCTTATCGTGTTTTGGTGGATACCAACTTCATCAATTTCTCAATCCAGAACAAAGTGAGTGTGCTTCGTTTTGATTTAATTGTTTTTAGCTTTTTGTTTGGAAATGCTTATTGTGGTATATTTGTTTCCCTCTTTTAAATAAACAAATGATAGTTCTGGTTCTATTTCTACACAACTTTCCATGGAATGCTTGGTTCAAAGTTGTAGTATACATGTTGCTGATAATGATTGTGGCTGTATGTAAATGGCGTGCATTTGATGCACATGATCTAACATTACCTCTATAACAGAATAAAGATACTAAAATATTTTAGTGTATGATAGATTCTTTAAGTTTCTTTGTTTAGGCTCACACAATATTTTGGCTTTGTTGATGTAGTTGGATCTGGAGAAAGGGATGATGGACTGCTTATATGCAAAATGTGAGTTTGAAGTAGATGATTACTTATCTTAATTTATGTATTTCATGTTTTAGTTTAGCTGAATGCTAAGGTTCCTATTAAATTTACTTGTGTGGCATTCTATATTTGAATCAAACATCTCATATTCTACTATTACCTTTGTTCTGTTGATACTGTGGATTTCTACTAGGCACCCCTTGTATCACGGACTGTGTGATGGCAGAGCTTGAGAAGTTAGGCCAAAAATATCGTGTAGCACTAAGGTAGAAGTAATCTCTTGTGCCTTGTTTATTATTGGTTTATATTCTTATGCATTTAGGATGTACATATAACAAGGATGACCCACTGCTTGAGGTGGCTCCTTCTGAGTGAGGCATGGGGAGGGTAGTTGTTCCTTATAAAATTGAAATTATGTTTGCTTGCTGGGCTTGTCCATGCTTCCTGAGAGTTTTCTTCTTCACAATGTGCTTTATTAGTGGGAATTTTAGGTTGCATACAAAACAAATGATTTGTGTGTCTCACAACTAAAGCCTCTCATTTTTCAAATTATAAGAAGATTTAAATAATCCACATATAATTTCATCCATCATCACATTCTGTCAAAAGATAGACCCGTGGGGGCTCTAGTACAAATGGATTAAGTGCATGTATGGTTTATCGTTGAAAATCTACAAAATCACATTGAGCGGAAAAGACAAAATTTGTTGCTTCTTAGTTTAGTGCATTGGAATGTGTGATTCAATGCAAATGGGTTCCCAAACATACCCTAAGTCACAAAGGGCAAAACAAATATCATGGGACTCCTTGACTTTATTTTCCTTTGAAATATCATGGTTTTCTTTTGCCCCATGCAATGGTCATATTTCTCATATAAGCTATCTCTCAATCTATTAGAGAAAATGAATTATGTTATTCTTGTTTCAACTTCTGGGTATATTACCTAACAGGATTGCCAAGGATCCTCGATTTGAGAGAATACTATGTACTCATAAAGGGACTTATGCTGACGACTGCCTTGTTGAGAGAGTTACTCAGGTGCGATATATTTTAATTAGCTAAATGCACAGAAGCATCTGGGAGCAATTTGATTATAAGATTAATTTATGATTTTTCAGGCTGGATGAGAAATAGTGTTTTTACTTTTCTTTTTACCTGTATTATGATCCTGGGAAATGGGAAAACAGATTTACATTTTTTTTGTTTAATATGGAAACCAGAGCCACAAAAGATGATGGTAAATTTTGTTGGTTTCGTAATCCTTGTAAATTGGTTGCAACTTATTTCCTATTATATGGGACTGTGATATTTTATATCTCTTAGAGCAGTATATGGTTATCATGATCCGTAAACAAATTTAGACTGCTACTTTTGAAACATAAATTGAATAGGATATTGGGACTTCTGATACAATGAAATATCTCCCCTCCTTAATTTGGAATTATGAAAAAAGTGTAGCAATTATGTTTCTCAATTTTGAATTTGTTACTAAGAAATGGATATGACTGAATATTACTCGCTTATTCTTGGTGTTAATGGATCTCATTCCCTAATTCTTTGCCTTTGTAAATTGTAAAGTATATTCAATATTCAATATTCATTTAAGTGAACAATATCATTAGAAATGATTTTAAATAAATACTTAAATTTGCTGCTTATTTCTTTGTGTTTTCCCCATTTATTTACACAAACCATTTTCTTGGAAGCAGCATAAGTGCTACATCGTTGCAACATGTGATCGGGACTTGAAGAGGAGAATTCGGAAGGTAAAGTCATTATTCACTTCTCCATACCTTTGGTTGTTTTGATATTGGATCGTGATGCATGAATCATGCATGAACTGAGTTTCTGTATTACAGATTCCTGGTGTTCCAATAATGTACATCACCAAACACAAGTACTCGATTGAGCGGTTGCCTGAAGCAACAATGGGTGGAGGTAGATACTTTTTAGTGAAATTTATAGCCAAAAACCATGAATTTGAGCTTGTTAGTTTATTGGACAACCCAACCTTTATTAACTCTTTTGATAAACTGGATATATTAAACATCATTAACTTTGGTTCATAAACTCCAAAGCTGTTCTCTGTGTGTATATATATATATATATATGGTCTATTTAGATAAATTTTTCCAAAAGTATTTATAGGAGAAGAAAATAGAAAGGAAAAATGAAAATAAATTTTTCATAAATTAAAATTAACTTGTGCATAAGTATATGGAGAAACTTAGTTCTTTTTTCTTTCTTATTTTATTCTTTTATAAGTATTTTTAGAGAAGTTTATTTAAACAATCCATAATATATTACACACGAGCATGACCTGCAAAGATATATATAACTTGAATTTATGTGCAAATTGCTAATGGATAATATCAGTGGATTTTTGGTGTATCTTGTCAATAATCTTGGTCTGTGTGATCCTCTATAATCCTAGAAGAAATTTGCAATCCTAAGTTGTCTCATCGCATTTGTAACAAAGCTAAGTTTGAAGTCAATTTTGCAGAAAAGTCTAACAAAGTTTTGCTTTTTGCACCTTAATTTCATTTCATTGACCCTCCCAAAAAATATAATTTTTGTTGTTGTTAATAATGAAGTATGTAGTTGTGAATGGAAATGAATTATTAATTCTATTAGCAAGTAGCAGTGCCAATACTGTACTTTAATATTCTTGCTCTTTCTTTTGTTGAGTTTTTTTTTTTACTATGTTTAACTGACACTCAAACTGACGCACTCGTGATTCTCAATGCAGCACCAAGAATTTGATGCTGTAAAGCTAAAACTGGTAAAGCTGGCTATAGCAAGAATGTGGACACTAATTTCTTGGTTGAGAAGGATGAAATCCTGCTACAGTACCATGCCATGCATTTTTGGTCCTTATGCTGGCTGGATTAAATTTTAACGGAAGCTTGAAACCGAACAAAAGCAACACTTCAATGGTTGATGCCTGAAATTTTCTTGGTGTATATGTTCTGTTAAATTTGTTTTACTCATATTGCCTACCTAATGTATCATGGTGAGCCTTGTAATGTGTCTAAACTATGATGACATTTTCATAGTTCTAGTCTATTGAAGCGATACATTTTTTGGTTACAAGAGAAACCTTATTTTCCTTGAATCTAAATTGTAGAAATCATCCTTCGCATGTCCGAACTCAGAAGAATTGAAATTGGAAAATTCAAAATCACCCTTTTTCCTTTAAAGGTCAGTACTTGTACCAAAAAAAAAAATTGCGTTTCAAAATCAAAATCGTGTCGTGCATTTGATGTGTCAAAATTACTTGTATTTTCAAAATGAAAGTTATTAAATCATTTTTTAAAATGAGAAAAAAGTCATGTACTCGCAATATTAGTGATTACAAATCATTATTATAATAATTTTGTTACTTTACAGTAATTACTTTTAAAATGATATTAATAATGATTTATAATCATAAAGTTTGTTACTTCACAGTAATTACTTTTAAAAATGATATTAATAATAATTTTTAATTGATTGGTCATATAAAAACTTCTAAGCAGACCATTAGTCTTGTGTTTCAAATTTTGAAGTTTCAATTCAACTTTAACAATCATAGTTTTCGTGGAAAATAAATAAAAAATTATTGATTCAATTGGTGTATATCTGATTTTTTTTAATATTTTAAATTTAAACCTCGCATATGCAATAAGCTCTTAGGGTTTGGGAAGACTGATTATTCCTATCCATAAAGTAATGTATGTATTAAGAATATAGCGCTTAAATGTAATTTTTTTTAATGAACTATAGTGTCATTTTAATTTTTAAAATTTTAGTTAAATAATTTTAATCTTTTAAGTATTATAATAGTATGATTTGGATCATTTAATTTTTAATTGAATAATTTTATTCATTCAAATATTATAATTATGTGATCTTAATTTTTTTTTAAAAATTATAATTATATATATATATTTTTAATTTATTTATGTTATATATATTAGTAATAATAGATATATATCATTTAATACATAAATAAAAATTATAATATATATATAACTTAAATAAGTTAAAATTGATAAATTAAAATTATTTAATTAAAAGTTAGAATATTAAAATCGTATAATTATGATATATAAAAGATTAAAATTTTTCAATTAACATCTTAAAAATTAAAATATCATAATATTTGAGAAATAAAAATGCAATTAAACTTAATATACAAAATTTATACTTTCTTATACAATAGAAATTGTTATATGGAGGATGTTTATTATTTTTTTGATAACTATTTTAAAAATATTGATCATAATTTTTTAATTAATTCATAATGTTAACTTAAAAAAAAAAGTGATCACAACATAATTTTATATTTTAAATATAAAAAAATTAAACTTTATTATAATGACATAAAAATTAAACCTAACGTTCTCGTTTTCTCATTTCATATTCTTTTACGGGAACAGGGATAGATACAATTAGTAATTCTATCATTTGATTTTTAAAAGTTAGTAAGACCCTAAGATTTTGTTCTTATCTTAATCTAAAGTTTTATTAAAAAGAAAATAAAATGGCACAAGAAATGAAAGATGACATAACATTAAAATATAGAAGCAGAATTGTAGGTTAATTTTTTTGAATGCAATAGTAATGAATTGCATAATATTAAATGGGGGTGTCTGTGCAGAGTGAGGCATCAGAAGAGAAGCGAGGAGGAGGTGGAGTGCGGGTGAGTGCAAGGCAAGGCAAGGCAAGGCAACGGAACGTTTCGAGTTTGGCACATGGACGAAGTGATGACCATGGCGGACGTGACGGCGAGCACGCATTCAGCTTCCACCCCTTCCTCCCTCCCTTCCAATCTCCCTCTCTTCTCCGCCTTCCTCTCCTTCGCTCTCGCCCAGTTCCTCAAGATCTTCACCACCTGGTGCGTCACCATCCCTTTCTCCCTCTCTCTCTACATACATATTCACGCCGTCAATTCCAACTCTATAATCTCCCCTTCCTTCCTCTTCGCTTAGATCAGACCAACGTCACAACGACCGCCTTCTTCTTTATGCAAGGATCCCGCCTCTTGCTTCCTCCTTTTGCTTATATTTCTCTTTTCCTTCACATTTCACGTTCCCTGCTCTCTATTTCCTTATCAATTTATTTAGATTTGGGTTTTAGGGTTTCAAATTCAAGTACGGCTCCCGTCTTTTCTTTTCTGCTCTCGAAACCACTGAATTCGAAATGAATCTATAGGAATCGAATATTCTAGGGATTGAACTTTTAGTGGAAAGCTAGTGTTTGGAGCACGGGTAATGGAATTAGAATCGTGTTTAGTTCAACTTGTGTGCACGTTTCACGAGTGTCAGCAAATTTTTGGAGGCTTCAGGCTTGGTTGCATGATATTGCGTTTTTTGTTGTTTAAGAGTTTGGAAATATGAGATTAATTTTTTTCAAAACTTTTCTCCTAGATATTCAGGTATAAGGAAAAGAGATGGGATTCTAAAAGGTTGCTTGATTCGGGTGGAATGCCTTCTTCACATTCTGCAACGGTGTCCGCTCTGGCTGTTGCTATTGGTCTCCAAGAAGGGGCAGGCTCACCTGCTTTTGCTGTTGCCGTCGTCTTGGCGTGTATTGTATGTATTTTACTTTCTTGTTTGTGTTTAAATATGGTGTTTTGTTCCCTGATGAGCCTTCACTTGTTTTCATGCCTTTTGTTTTTCAATTTTTCGTTTTGATATGCCCGGAAATATGTTCATATGGTACTTTGACTTCTTTTGTTAATTAACTATGATCTTATGTTTTAAGAAGCTATAATGTGTTTCAGTATTAGGATCAAGAATCAAGATTAACATTGCCCTACATAATTTCGGATTTAGTAGAGACAAAAATATGATTGCGCTTTGATCTCCTTTCAGCTTCATGTACAAGTTTTGTTTGGTGGGGATCTCTGATGCCCTGATTCCAAATTATTTTGTATCCTCTGAAAAACAACTCCACCAACAGGTTTCAGGTTTCCATTATGATTTTCATGATGCTTCCGTTGATGGAGTATTAAAGAAAACATTGTATGTGTGAAGTTTACTATTTCTTTTCTTTATGTTGCTTTTAGTCACAGAATGTTTTTAGTTCTTATGTTAGTAACATCTTTTTATTTTATTTTATTTTTATCATGTAAACTATGTCTACATTGGAAGATTCTATAATATGCTAATTGTTATTTTCTTCATAACTCTTCTTTTAGAAGAAATTGATAAGGAATCTTTTGATAAATGTATTGAGCTTCGTTATCTTTGGTATTATAATTTTTTTTTAAAATGATATTTATTTGTAGTTTGAAAATGAAGTGTCTCCTGGTCTTAGTTTAGTCAAGTGAGATGATTATTTTTTGTATAAAATATGTAGGTTATGTACGATGCTTCGGGAGTTAGACTTCATGCCGGTCGGCAAGCAGAAGTAAGTATTTTTTCATGGTGGTAGTATTATTGTCCTGCTTTACATTTCGCTTTACTTTATATATATATACATATACACACATTTCATATGTTGCTTCTGTTACATACTGCAGTTGCTTAATCAAATTGTGTGCGAACTACCTCCAGAACATCCTTTGTCCAATGTCAGACCTCTGCGTGATTCACTTGGTCATACTCCGCTTCAGGTACGTTGTGCTTAAGGTTGCTCCAGTGCTTTCTTGTTCTCTTTGTTCACCAGCAATTTCCTTCAATATTCATTGACAAATGACAAGCAATATCTGTTTGAGTTTTTATATGTATGAGTACTTGAGTAGATATTATACTGAAGCTCTTGCTATATCATATTCCATGTGGTCGAACCCATAATAGCCGTCATTACCTTTCATAGTCCAATCGCCATCATATTTATGTTCAATAGTTGCTAAGCATTGTTGGTCCATTACTACCTTAATTTCTCACGTGTGATATAGTAGGACAGGGGAATTGTATTACGAGAACCATCACACGTGCGAAGCTTTTGTGGTCCTGTATTTTTTATTGTTGCATACATATTTTAATAATCAGTGACTACTGTTTTTTTTTACAGGTTGTTGCCGGTGGCATATTGGGGTGCATTATAGCACTTTTGATGAGAAAATCAAATTAAGTGCCATGTGATATGATGTGATTGATACTAATCCTCTACCTTGTCACAAATGTCGGTGCTTGACCAAATTGAGAGCATCATGAAAAGGGCATACAAGCCTGCAGTTGCAAATATGCAAGTGACTATGTGAGTAAAGTGCGTTCAGGGTTCACCTGGAGATCCTGCGTCCTGACTTTTGGACATTCAGACTTCTCTTGTACACATTAATTAATCTGTTGGTCAATTCTGTCTTAATTGATCGTAACACAATTTCAGATCATACTAGCTATTCTTTGACTTGTTAATTTCCACCTATTGTTGCAAGTCGAAACATGAAAGGCATTTGAAGTTGCATTTTATGTTTCATCCTTAAGTAGATTAAGCTTAATGTTTCTCCATGCATTTGACAGTTGTGACTTTCAAGATTTTATATATATACTTATTGTGAGTGATTTTTCATCTGTTGGCCGTGATTTATGGAGTAACATATTTTGTTAAAAATCAATTTGTCATTAATTGGTCACTTTTTAAAGTAATTTTTTAAAAAGAATAGATTTTAATAATTACAAATACATTAAAGAATGAATTGTATATATCGTCAACATTTATCTTTATCATTGTTTAAAAAAACATTTCTCTTTATTACTGGATTCCTTGTGAGGAGTTTGACAAAGAGAATTGTTATCATTATGTATTTTAATGTATTTGTTGTAACAAATTTTTGTTATCATTTGAAATTTACATGAAACTCATTTCCTTTTTTATCTTGGGACGGTGACCTGGCTAACATTTTCCTTTTGAAATAGGCAGCATGGTTGTTCCATTTAATTTTTCTATTTGATATAAGCTAGAAAATATAAATGGTCTACAATTATTTTATATAACTTCATAAACAATTGTAAAATAGTCCCCGTTAAGATTGCCGTCCCTGAATGATCTCCCTATGTCATGTTTTTTGTACAGAGGTTATGTTTGTTAGAGTGGAAGGAGTATTATGAATAATTGTAAAATTGTAAGTTATTGACTCGTATAATAGTTATCTTCAAAATTCTATGAATAATGATTTTTATTAATTGACAATATAAAACATATCACCGTTAATTTTTTTATTTATAAATTATGTTAGTTTACAAATAAACTAGTGAGACACATGGGATTGCACAAAATGAAATTGGGTTAAATGATTGTTAGTTAAAGTGGTTATGTTTAAATTTTTCAAGTAAAATTTTCATTTTGAGTATTATGAATGAAGAAAAGTGAAAGAAAAGAAAGCAAAGAAATAAAAATGAGATGATCCTTTTATGTTGTTTTGTAAAGAAAAAAATGGAAGAAAAGAAAGAAATTTTTTTCCCACTTGTCTGATTGTGTAAAAAGTGAAAACAAAAAAATTATGTATATAAAATAAAAATAATAAATAAATTAATGAATGATACAAATAAAGGTGATTTTTTCAATTTAATAAAAAATAAAGTTTGTTTATTTTATAAAGTTAAAAATAATAACTTTAAATTTAAAAATAAAAAATATTTTTTTAATAATCAAAATTGAAAGTGAATCATTATATACAAACTAAAACTTTAACATTCCATTTGATTGGAAGGAAAATAAGTGATAAATAAAAAGAAAAGAAATATGGAGGAGAGATATATGAAAAAAACATGTAAAAGAAAAGAAAATAAAATGAATAAAAAAAAGGAGCGAAATAATATTATAAAATTATTTTATTTAAATAAAAAAAAATAAACAAATTATATTATAACTTAATTGACTTATTTATCCTACTTAAACCAATATGAACGTATCATATATGGAAATATTGTTCAAGAAATATTTTAATCGATTAATATAATTCATAATCAATTAAATACAATGCTCAAAGATTTTAGAAAATGGTTCGTATTTAACAACTTTAATTGATTAAAAGTTATATATCATTTTAAGTATTGACTCGCACATCACAATTTTAATAGCTTATGATTCCTTTTATTCCATCATATAGAAAAATGCTTATGTATTTTTACAGTAAATAAAAGATAGTTGTTGATCATCTTTTTATTTCTTCTCACATTACTTACCTATTATCAAACACACAATTTCATTTCTCCTATTAGACTATTTCCTACCTAGTTGACAAATATTATAAAAAAAAATCATATTACCTTAATAAAATCCACACACATGTACATGAACTAGAACTATTACTAATAAACTTTTAAACATAGATGGTTAACTTGCTTAGCAAATAGGCAAATAGTAACATTAACATGTCACGCTCGCAAATAGTAACCTCAAAACTCAAATACCCGTTTCCTTCATCGGCAAGTCACGTTGCTATCCCTCTCTCTCTCTCAAACGATTCAAATTAGAAATAATGGAGGGAAATTAAATTAGTTCATTTCTATTACTATACAATCGCATGAACCAGAGAAGAAGCACCTGAATCACACACAACCTCATCAATGGCCGAATTCTTAAGCCCTAATCCAACGACGGGCCAAAAAAAGAGGGTTCCCGTGTCCGCTCGTATCCAATCTCCCACCACCACTTTCTTCGTGGGCTCCAACGACGACCAGCTCGAACGGGCCCAAGCCCGCGCGGCCCGCGCCGCTGCCATCCGCCGCAAGGCCCTTGCCGCCAACTTCCACTCCCAACGCCCCGATTCTCATCCCTGTCTAAACAAACAACAGATTATCGCTTTGTTCCACAACTGCATTAAGCTTGCCTCCGAAAATGTAATCATGATCGTACTCTTCTTCCACTGTTATTGATTGCTTTGTTCTCAGGGCAAGTGTGTTTTGGTTTTCTTTGTGTGCAGAAAATTAATCAGAAAAACACATGGGAGTTGGATTTGATTGATCACCTCACTCATATTATTAGGGCCGACGAAGGGGATCACGTGGAGACTAATTTTCAAATAGTAAGTTCTGCTTGCTGCTTGATTCCTATGTACTTTGGTTTTAGGCTTTTCCTTCCAAACCTACATTGATTTTGAGAATGATAAGAAAATAATATCATCTTTCTGCGGGCACTGCCTGGTTTTATGGGTTCCGGTTTCATGAATTGTGCCTTTATTTGGGTACATTAATGTGATTATAATATGAATTGATGTTACCACCGAGCCTGAATCAACTAACACAGGAGTTTGAGTCGTAGGTATGCAACTGTGTTACATATTGGATGAGAAAGTTTTGCTGCTAATAGTAGTTTTACCCGACTCCAACGAGATTGTTTCTGGTAGAGGGTACCTGTGGTATAGACAAAATGAGGAATATGATATCTATACCAATATAAAATATGATAAAAAAAATTTCTTTAAATGCATTTTCTTGCAAAGATGCATCTACAATAATTCTAAAACTCGCTCTGGAAACCCATTTTTAAGTAGAAATAATCATTTTTCTTTAAGTTATGCCAAGAAGCTGTTAAAAATGTTATTATTTTTCTGTAATAAGCTAACATTTTGACTTATGTTGTTCTCTATATTTGAGCACATGCACATGGACTTGCAGTGTAAACATGCAATCAATGAGACATCCATGACAATAAAACCATATTTTTGTATATGTTATTGTTATATTCATTCTTTTTTTATTTGGGCAGGCAAGCTGTACACTTGAGGCTGGTGTCAAAATTTATTCCTTAAGGGTGGATTCGGTGCATTCCGAGGCGTATAAAGTCCTAGCTAGAATGAATAGAGCAGGCCAAGATACTGAAGGTTACAATAATTACCCTTTATCAACCTAGTGTTTCCTGAACTTCTTCTGTCCCTTTATAGCAATACGTGTTGTCCTATGGTGTGCAGATGGGGGCCGTGGGGATTGTTTTCTTCCTTAATTGTATAATAAGTTATCTAATTTTACTTAATGTTTGGTATCTTAAGACTGACTGAACTTCGAATGGCTACAGTGCAGTATGCACTCTGCACTGCAGTACATTGCTGTTGGTATTTTAACTTTCTATTCTTCAATAGTTTCTAATGCGGTGTCATAGTATTCAGACTCTACTCTAGGGAGTATTAATACTGAAGGTGGACAAAGAAGCAGCAGGAAGGAAATTGACAAAAAGGTTGATTCTCTGGATCTTTGGGTTTGAAAACTTGAAATCATTTCTTGCAATGTTTTAAGAGGTGTTTGTTCATGCAGTTGTCACCTTTGTCAACGTTGGAATCATCTTTTGAGGTTCTTAATGTAAAGAAGTTTGACGGTGATCTCAAATCTCTTTCTATATTTGTTACTTGTTTAGCATGAGGGATAGAGATTGTGCTGAGTGCTGACAATATAGATGTTTTTTCAGTTGCATTTGCCATTGATCCACTCTATCGCCAGACATCAGCACAATTTGATGAAGGTGGAGCTAAAGGCCTTTTGATGAATAATCTCGGTGTATATGGTAGATGTAGGGTACTCTTTGATTCACTAGAAGTTCCAGGGAAGTGCATAGCCAGTCAAAATGAACATGATATTTCAGATACAATTGATCTTTCTTTTGCCAGAGGTATATTTCTGGGTGGCAAACTTAGTTTCACATTATAAAAATAAACATTCAATATGGATCAGGGACTTAGTTTTCTTCACTCCTGTATAGATTGTGTTGAACAGATGCTATTGAACATGCATACGAAGGATGAAATATCTCCAACTCTCAGGTTGATAGTAAATCAATTTGAAGAAAATAATAGAAGGCCTTCTGATTTTCAATTTTCTGGCCAGAAATCAGCTGAAGAGTTTAATTCAGCTATTGATTGTGAACTTGCCACTGAAAAAGAAAAATATGAGAACTGCCCATCCCTTAGCGATGATCATGCTAGCCAAACATTTATTGCTGAATGTGGTTCTGATGATGCAGACCCAAGTTTTCATAGTTTCCATCAGGTTTTGTAATATTTCAGCAATATCAATACCTGTCTTGGAAGATATTTTAAAAAGTTTTCTTTTTTGTTATTATATTAAGTGTTTGATGGGCCTTATATCACATTGTAGGAAAAAGAACATTTTCATTCCCAAGACCCTGATACAGACGACGTTTTTGAAAATGTTGATGAGTATTTATTTTTTAGTCTGGGTTTTAGGTCAAAGAAAAATGCATGGGCAGGCCCTGATTATTGGAAGTATCGAAAAGCTGAAGGTGGGGTATAGGAGGCCAGTTTGAGGTTGTTATGGTTAGTTGTATTACTTGTTTATGTATTTGGGAGTTCACTCTGTTAATCAATTCTGAATCTGTTTCTAGGCTCAGAATCAGAGGTTCATCGTACTTCTGAGGATGGATTGATCCAGAAAACCATGCAACAAAGGACAAAGAGACATGCCGAAGTTGATTTAGATTTCACAAGTTTTGTTGAAAAAAAAATACCATACATCTTTTCTCCTCCCAGGAATCCCAAATCATTACAGCTCCCTGAAAATATACCACCTTGTGTTACAAAACTTCCAGAGGATTGCCACTATGAACCAGAGGAGCTGGTCAAGTTGTTTCTCTTGCCGTATGTAAAGGTATTTTATTAACGTATAGAAATTAGTTTCATATATCTCAATCCGTAGTAAAAATTAATTGTTTCTCTGATGCTTGATATTCTTTCTGCAGTGTATTAGGAGGTCGAGAAAGTTCTCAGGTAAGATGTGCTATTGTGATCCCAATAATTTTCTATATATCCTTTGATTCTTCGCCTGTGAATACAAAAGACATTTTTTAGAGTGTTTTCATTTATTAATTGTGTTTAATACTCAGGTGTATTTGCGGATGTATCAGGAGATCAATGCAATGACTATGAATCATTCCCTTCCTGGGATAATGGAAGTGTTTGTGATGGTGATGTTACTGATGAACATAGTGACGTGGATGATTCTAGTACATTAGTCTCTCAGCCTCGTCAGGTGGGTTTGATGTTTCTTTTGAATAATTTACAATATTGTATATGATTATTGTATGATTGTATCATAATTCATACAGGCAGATGAAAGGATATCTTTCACGGGTTCTTGTATTCCTCGAGTTTAATTTCAACATAATTTTGCGTAAGTTATTGCAGTTAGACCATAAGTATGATTATTTCCAAAATAACGCAGATCAATAAAATTGAAGTCCAGTATGACAAAACATCCAAACAAGTCAATGTTCAGGCTTTGAAAATAACACTTTGGGACCATATTCAAGAATCTACACAACTTCCTTTTCAGGTATGCTAAGGTTCATCATTTCTTAAAAGGGTCTGCCACTCTGCCTGGTACTGTCTTGTCTAGTTATAAATTATCAAGTATCATTTCCTTTCGAATCTTACCTCACAAAAATAAAATGCTTTCTGCAGTATGTTTCTTTCATAGTGTTATATCAACTTTTTCCTCCATTATTCTAACATTGTTAATGCTGAACGGTTTTTCCTTAATGTTTTCTATGTGCATAGATGATCATTTTTCTTTCTTTCTTTTTTTGTTCTTTGAAGTTGAGTGGTAAGTTCTAATTCTTTCATTGGTTGCTTAAAGGGACAAAAAGAAATGGTATCTTTCAGGCATATATTGGCCAACTTTCCAAGTAAGTTCAATGCTGCTGCAACTATTAGTGACATATCTCCGCACCTGTGTTTCATATGCCTATTGCATTTGGCTAATGAGAGAGGGTTGAACATCCAAAGCTGCCCCAACTTGGATGATCTTGGCATATGCCTACCTGATGATGGTGCCACTAACACCGGAACAGTTTAGAGACTGCCTCACTCGATTAATCTTTACTTCAGGAAATAGGAAATATTTTGACAAGTCTTTATGTGCAGTTCTCTTGCTTGCTCTGATGGTTTTATTTGTTTGCAGAAAATACTGCATTTATTCTTTTTGGTTCATAGGCGAGACCTCGCTAGCGAACTTCTACCGGTGTGTTTGGAAAAAAACGTTGGGTTGTACATAACCCATGTTTTTTCCAATCCAGTGATATTATTACTTTCCATTCGAAGCATTGGAACATGCAGACAGAAGTTCGGGGTCTTGTAAAATGGAAATTAGACACACTACATTATTTTTAGGATATTAGATATTCAGAAAATTGTAAATAGCAGATTTTGGATGTGAAACGTTGATAAAATGAATGTGAATAAACTTCTAAAAAGTAATTATAAGATAAGAAAATAAAATGAATTCATAAAATAAAGTAAACGAGATGAAACTTAAGTTAAAATCAACTTTTAAGTTACTTAATTTATAGAAATCTTGAATTAGCAAATTTCTAAAAAATTAAGAAGTCTAATTTAATTTGAGACATTTAAATTTGCGAGGATTGAGATATGATAGTTTTGGCTAGCAGTGATTTTGCATGTGTAAATATACCTCCTAAGGAGAAATGAAAGTGTTAAAAATTTCTAATTGAGAGAGAAGATCAGAACTTCATATCTCAAGTTTGTAGAGGAGACTACTATTTAGATTGTAAATAAAGAAAAAAAAATATTAATGACAATTCATTTTAAAATTTTATTATTAAAATCTTTTGGGTTGTTTTGTTTCTAATAACAATTTTGGTTACAACCCTTTTATAATGTTTTTAAAATTATTTTAGTGTTAAAATTGATGTCTAATTTAGTGTAGTAGTTTTTCAAATAATAAGTTTGGCATTTTGATTTCAATGGAGTTAGATCTAACAAAAAGAAGTTGGTCCACCAAGTAAGAAACCCCGCATTCAAATATTTGTTAAGAGACACTTACATTTAGTGTCAATTATAAAAGATTAAGATTGACATAACAAAATTCTCACTAAAAAGATAAATTTTGCGTTTGTACATGCATGTCAAGTCCAGACAATAATTACTTCTTAGGATATGGACATGTGTAGGAGTAGGACTGTCGTAGCCTCGTAGGGCCTCAAAGGTGATAAGCAATAGATGTGGCCCAATGACTGAGCTTGCGAAACTCGTGTTCCAACCTTTTCCTTTCATATATGAGCTTTTGCTAGAATTATTTCCTTTTCTGATCACTTCAGATATTTTATGAACATTTTTTTTTATTACATGAAAATATTTCAGCTTAAATGGCATAGAAATATTATAGACTAACACCAATAAATGAAAATACACGGATTAAAATCTATCTCAAACAATGAAGTAGTAATGGACCACCTTGCTGCGTTTTAAGTTGATTATATTATGATATTTAATTTTATTAATTTTTTTTATCGTTATTACATAAGAGGTGAATTTAATTATATAATAGACTTATGAAAAGTTAATTTTAAAAAATTAGAAGCAAAAAAATCTTCTTATATATATATATATATATTGCATAACAATAACAAAATTAATATTAAACATTTTTTTTATAATTTCTAAATGCATCATAATGTCTTAATGATTTCATAATAACGTGAATATGTACTCATAATTTATATCCGTAAACTTGATTAACTAAACTTAGAAGAACAATTGAATATGCTTTTAGAGAAATTATATTGATGTAAAAAAGTTGGGTAAAAAATGAGAGAAATCAAAAGAAAAATAGAGAATGGGATTTTTTTTATTATTAATATGTTAAAAATAAATACACGATTAATGTTGTAAATATTATATAATATTAGGTTAAATTATTATATAAATTATGGATTATGTAAGAATTTTCAAAGAGACTCTTGAACTAATTTTCTTAATACGGTTTTTTAAACTAAAAATTCATATCTCTGAATTAGTTTTTAGTGACTTAAAACAGAAAAAAAAAATGACAACCTGTAATAATTTTGAAGATTCAATTTAAAAATTGTGAACAAGTTAGACACATCAGTGTTAATTTAATCATAACATTATTGTCACGATTTTAGCGTGGTGGAGAACAGACATATCATCCGGTTAGGTTTGAAATTTTGGTAGACATTTAACGACAATTTAATTTACTTATTTTAAAAGATTTAGAGGCGTCGTTGTTAATTCAACCATAACATTATTATCTTGTATCAAGAATTAATTCTTTTAAATAAATTGTGTAGGATTTAAATCGTGATTTAGAATATGAATAGATTATGTTAAAAAAAATTCACTTTTTATTCATTTATAATCTCAGATAAAAATAAGTCTGTCTGTTTTTGGGTGGATATTTCATATTGAAAGCATATATTAAAAAACACATTTATCATGCTTCTAGCGGTGTCGAGAAGATAAATATCATCGGGTAAGAGTGACATTTTGGGAAGATATTCAACGTGACTGAGACGTCTAACCTTCAACCGTGTCATACAAAAAAGAGCCAAAGACCAAAACACGAGATGCCCCACACCACCACATGGTCCCCACACTCCTGCACTTTCAATTATTAAAATTAATCTTTGAGTAAATTACACCAATAATTCAGACATTTTATAAAATTGCATAAACATTCCTTATTTATTCTATCCTACAATAATCTCTCTAATTGCTTAAAAAAATTACATCAAAGAGGTATTTGTTTTATAAAATGATATTATATTCTTGAAAATTATATTCTCAAAAGTAATATAATTAGAAATGTTATTATCAGGACTAATTCTATGATAAATAAGACACAATAAAAGATATTTAGAGACTTATACATGTGTAAGACTGTACAATTAATGATGGCTTAAAGAATTAATTTATATTATTATATTAACAAGATGCATATACTTTTTGATAACTTATTACTTAATAATTCCACAATTAAGCATGTTTAGTTTGAAACAGTTTAGGGATGGATGACATTTTGAAAAGTTTTTCAAAAAGTATGCAAGTAGAGACAAAATATGCTAAAAAATCTTGTGTTGGTTTATGGGATTAATCGTTGATCCTAAAAACAAATGGACATATTAAAAATACTACTCATGAAGGGTTCTAATTGGTGAAAAGTTATAACCAATAAGGGGTTGTGTGAAGTGTCATCATGTAAAGTATTGTGGAGTGGAGTTGCTGAAATCTCAAATCTGAGGTGTGTTACAACTTACAAGTTGTGTTAGAGTAGGTTTTCTCTCCCAATACAGTGTGGTTCAGGGATGAACCAGGCGAAAGCTTATCGACTTATAACAATTCAAACACATCAGAATGAGAGAGATTCAGAGATTTATTTATACATGTGTGAGATTGTTTAGTTGAGAATAATTTAAACGGATTAATTTGTACTACCTATATCAACAAAATATATCTACTTTTTGATAACTCATCACTTAAGAACTCCATTGTTAAACGTCTTTAGCATAGAGTAGTTTAGGTATGAGTGACCTTTCATAAAGTTTTCTAGAAAATATATGAGTGAGGACAAAGTATGCTGAAAATTTTTATATTAATTTGTGGGATCAATTATTGATCCTAAAAGAGGACAAATATAAAGGGCTACTAATAGAGGATTTTGATAAGCAAGATTTTCACCAACGAAGAGTTATGTAATGTGAAATATCTTGGAGTGGAATCGTTGAGATGTCAAATCAGAGAGGTGTTACAAATTCAAAATGTTTGATTAAGTTTAAACATTTTTAAGAATAATTTTAAATTTAAAATAAATTAAAAAATATTGGAAATATAATTTTTTTATCCTTCACCATGGGAACCAAAATGACTTGAAATATAAAATAACTATTTTTTTTTGAAAAATAAACAATACCCAAAAATAAGATTTTTGTTATGAATAATAATTAGTGGCTTAATTAGTGGATGCTAATATTCATTATCAATCATTACCATTTATATTTTCGTTGTGTATTATTCCCTTTATTGTGTAATTGTTCAATTATCACATGTACTTATAAATATGTTACTCCTCTCCCAAAGATAATAGACTAGTCAGATTCTTTTCTCCATCTCTTATTATCTTGTTTATTCTCTCAACTTTTTCTCTCTTTTATAATACATTATCAGCACGATAGTCTTTTCGCTATTGGTGTTGCAACTATAAGACAAAGCTGTGAAAATTTTTCTTGAAAAATTTCATATTTTTTTAAGACAAATATTTCAAGGTTAGCTATTCATTTTCCATAATAAGATTTTATCAAAAATTTGTATTGTTTACATTGTTATGAATCAAATACTCCTGAAGACATTATAGTAGTCTTGAAGACACTATTAAATAAAGAAATTCTTCATACATTTTTGAAATCTGTCTAGAAGACAATATCAAAGAAGAATGTTCAACCTCTTTTACTTTATTTTTTTTCTCACCAGAAGTGGGAAAATGGTGAGAAAAAAAATGAAACCGAAAGAACAAATTTTGTTTTTTTTGTTTTTGAAATTGAATGATTATCCATGAATGATATGTGTTGTAAAATTGTATAATTTTCCATGAATGTTATATATATACACATATAACGATTTTACAATGATCTAGAAGACATTGTCAAATTAAGAAATTTTAAACATTTTTTTTTCTCACCGGAAGTGAGATAATTGTGCAAAACTAAAAAATAAAAGAATATTTTCTCACCGGAAGTGAGATAATTGTACGACGATGAAAATAAAAGAATATTTCCTCACCGGAAGTGAGATAATTATGCAACAATGAAAATAAAAGGATATTTTCTCACTATAAGTGAGATAATTGTACGACAATGAAAATAAAAGAATATTTTTCTCACCGAAAGTGAGAAAATAATATGAAAAGTGCAAAATAAAATAAATTTCACAACAAGTGAAAATTTTGATATAAATATATTATATTGTATTTGATCCTTTGATATAAATGAGGTCATCATTGGAAGTGAAATAATTTTGTAAATTTCATAATTGTAATGTTGAATGATATTTGAGACACTTATAAAAATTATGACTAGCAAAGCGTGTCCTCAAGCCTATTTAGGTATTGTGTGATTTCTTGAAAAGATTATGAGTTTTCTTACATCTGTAATTTGATATTCTTCATGATTAAATTGATTTAAATAAGCAACTTGTCATGTAATTGAACTCATGTGTTACGTTGTTGAATCTTAAAGGGTTTGGTTTCAAATCCTATTAATATAATTGATGTCTAAAGATACATAACAAGAATGTCATTTTTATAATGATTTCTCGATTTGAAAAATATATTATATTTTTCATACATCTATTTTGCTCCAGAAGTAGCAATTTTTTTTATATAAAAAAAAGGATTAAGAA